AAATTTTCACAAATGCCTAGGGTGCCTAAATGGTTTTCTTGGCTTCACTGGAGATGGCTGGTAATTATAGATTTGCTTTGTTTATGTCACCGTATTCCTATTATGTTAATATGTGTGTGCAAATTAGTTAGTAGTTTAAAACCTATACATACTTAAGGTACTATACAAGAAGATATGTCAAAGAAATAATCAATCCTCCCAAGTTTCCTTCATATGCTACATCTATAGCTTTTCTTCTTCCTTCCTAATTACAAACCTTAAATAGAATTCGTGCCTCATATCGAATTTACCGAGTATCATAATTCCTCCAGGTGGTAAAGATACCTCGAGACAAGTGCTGGGCATAGAAGCCACAGGGCATAAATCTGCAAAGAAGTAAAAAGCTAACCTTTGCAAACAATATGGCTTCTCTCTCACTTACCAACTTTACATTTCCCTGTATGGCCCCGGAAGATGACTGGTTAGCCAGAGACGGGTAAGATTCCTCAAGGGAGGAACAACCTAAGACAGGCACAGTCGCAGGGGGGCCATCAGGTGAGAATTTGGGGATCAACAGAGGTGAGGCTCAGAACCTCACCCCCTCTGCTTTGAGAGAAATCTTCTGTAGCCGTGGATGTTTTATTGCCCTTGTCTAGCTTGGATTAACACATAGTCTACAGGCACACACCTGATCATCTACATTTGCTCTCTTACAACACTGAACTATGTTTTCTACCTTTATCTTGCATCTACCTACCACTTCAGCATTTTATTAAAAAAAATAATAAAGGGAGAAATGTGGGATTCACATGTAAATCAAGTATAAAAATCAAACGAATATTCATATTTGACGTGATTGTTTATAGTTCATAATGAGTGATCAAAACCAAGTTTTTGTGATGACTGCCCTTGTACTGTTCACCATGTAAGAACTTATTCACTGTGTAAGAATTTGATCACCATGTTCATTATGCTTCAGAAGATTGGAGACTGATGAGAATTAGGCTGGGGGTGGATTAATGATTGTACATTGAGCATTGAGTCCCCTATACAGAATTTTATTGTTGTTAACAACCATTTGATCAATAAATATGAGAGATGCCCGCTCAAAAAAAAAAATCACTAAACTTGAAGACATGGCAACAGAAATTATTCAAAATGAAAGGAGGAAAAACGGCTTAAAACAAAAACTAAAGAGCATTAGCAGCGTGTAAAATATATCAAGATCTCTAACGCACTCAGAGACCCAAAAGAAAGACCAGAGAGGACGTGGGCAGAAACCTGAAACCACAGATGGACAGGTCCAAGGAGCCTGACAAACATCAAGCAGAACAAGCCCTAAGAAAAGCACACAAGCTGAACTGCTAAAATCAGTTCTGGGGACTCATTCACGACACCCTGAGCAGAGGTCAGCTGACGTGTCCTCCAAAGGGCCAGAGGGCAGACAGGCGCGGCGGCCACGGACAGCCACAGCACTATTTCCTGCCGTTAACGACCTTTAAAAAACTCAAAGATCATTCTTCGCTCGTGGGCCAAAGTTTGCCCGTCTTTGATCTTGACCAAAACAAACAAACACAAATGTGAAACAAAGGCAAGAACAGCCGGCATCCTTTGGAAACAGTGCAATTCAGGTTTCTCTTCAAGTGGTGGGACCAAACATCAACCTGAAATTCCAAACCCAGGGAGGACGAATTTCAAAAATGGAGGCAGAACAGAGACTTTTTTCAGACAAAGAGAAGCCAAACAGACTCACTGTCAACAGATGTATAGTAAATCCCCCTGGATGAGGAATATGACACATTACAGAAACGTGGGGTTAGAGAACTATGAAGAGCATGAGGAATGCTCAATGTGTGGGAAACAGAGAGAGCATCTTAAAGTTTCTGGAAGAGATAACTGTTCAAAGATTCACAGTAAGTAATCAAATACCAGCAAGGGAGGCACAGCCAAGACCACCCGAAGGTAGCCCATCTCCCGAGGGCAGGCTGGCTGGGACGGCTCCCCCTACAGTGGGGGCACAAAGGGCACGCGAGGAGCCGAGGCCCAGCACGGCCCACCTGCCTCAGCTGGATGAGCGTCCGCGAGTGGTCCCCGCCTGTGATCTGGTCCAAGAGGTCATCCACCATCTTCTTGCTGTAGCTCCCAGCATCCTTCACAAACTCCTGCAGGCTAGAAGGGGCCGAGAGAGGGCGGGCTGAAGCACATGCCCTGGGTCTGACCCTCCGGGCTGTCCTCCACACTGGTGGCTCCATTACAGGGGCCTGCATGTAGCAACCCAAGAGGGGTCTGTGCTGGGAGCCGTGGACCTCCCAGATCTGGACGTTTCAGGGAGTGGATATTTTAGAGAGAGGACATTTCAGCAGTTTTCAAAGTGGCGCAGGACCAAAAAAGGGGAAAAGGTCTTGAGATAAAGAAAGCAAGGTGAATATAGTACAGACACATACACACACAGACACTTACATTGCCCTCTGCAAAAGAAGCATCATTGTATCTGTTACTTTGGATTTAAAAAGACAAGTAGATTGAGGCTCAGTGGACGTGGCCACCCACTGCGGAGGGGGCAAGGGAGGGAGCAGGTGTGGGGGCGAGACTCCATGTGTCCGTCAGTGTCATTTTGATTTTGACCATATGAACACTTAAACAAAATAAAACCAAAAAACTTATAAAGGAGGCAGGGAATAAAAGCCTCCCCAGTCCTAGCATCAGAGCCTGGACAAAGGTTCCAAAAGGTTTCCCAGACGCCAAGACACTCACTCAGAGCAAGAAGGTACACTGGTCAGGAGGCCGCCCCTGGGGGCACCTTAGGACAAACCGCCAAGCTGATGTGAGCAGGCACTAGTGGGAGCCCTCACGGCATGGTCTGCAAGTGCCCCAGCACTGTGAGGAGAGGACAGTGTATGGACGACTGGGAGAAAGGGGCACTGGCACCATGGCCAAAGCAGCCTCAGGCCAGGCCCTGTGCAGCCTGTGTTACTTGCTGCAGGGCACACAGAATCTGCACACATTTCAGGCTCCTGGGAGAAGCTGGACATGGTCTGGCTACATCATGCTCCCTGGACCGAGGTGAATGGTGACTGCAGAGCTGTAGCCCACTGACAGGGAATGGGGTAATGGAGAGTGTCACCGACTCATGACACTATCCTCTCCAACCAGAAATTTCCTCCTTAGTTTTCCACTTCTAGTTTCTCACAAAAATGTGGGTTAGGTATTCATTTATTCTATTAGAGCCAATTGATTTCTTGTTTTATTCCGTTTCTTGGAGGATCACAAAATTATTTTCCAATTGAAAATTACTAAAATTCTTTAGGTGACCCACTTCTACTCTGCCACAGAAAACAAAACACACACACACAAACGGTTCTACATAAACGCAGTACCACAGTTGTATTTCATTATTACATTTTAGTCACAGTTAGGGGCTATTTGTGTCCCCTGAATTCATATGCTGAAGCCCTAAAGCCCAGGATCTCAGACTAAAACTGTATTTGGAGATGGGACCTTTAAAAGGCGAGTAAGTTTTAAAATGAAATATTGAGGGTGGGCCCACATCCCATGTTACTGGTATCTTTTTAAGGAAGAAGAAATCAGGACACAGACATACACAGGGCCCGCATGAGGGCCCAGAAGGTTCAGGAGGAGCCCACCTACCCACAGCTTGGGGCTCCAGGACTAGGAGGCAGTCAACATGCATCCAGCAGCCCACACAGACCGACCCAACCACCAAGAGCCACGTACAGTACTAATGCGAGTGAACTCTACACGTACAAGCTGGCTACACATACCCCTCTGAAGGGCGGCCTGGGTCACCACCACCTTAAATCGTGGCCGAGCTACCTGAACCTCAGGACTCCCTGCAGCAGCCAGATGGTTTACTGAGAACCACAGGGGTTTCTGCCGCCCCGAGCGGCCACCTCTCTACATGCCCACACCCAGGTCAGAACCATGCGCCAGGAAAACGCTGCCTACCATCTGCCCGCCCAAGTACTGCTCACCTCAGCGCACACTGCACGCCCGTCTCGTCTCCGTAGGCAGAGTAGAGCAGCTCTGCTTCATCTGATTTCAAGTCGCCAAACACTGAATGTGTGTGCGTGGAAAGGGCGGAGCTAGCGCTCGAAAGAAACGTGACTAAGAGGAAGGAAGCGAGGGAGGGAGGAAGACAGGGCTAAGCGCTTTCCTCGCGCGGCACCACCCCCTCCACGCCCTCCCCTCCTGCCCGACTCTCCCGGAGGCAGGAGCTACTTGGGCACAGCTAGCCAGGCCCCTCACCCCGACTTGACCCACACGATGCAGAGCAGGAGCAAGGGGAGCACAAGGGCCTTGTGGCGGCAGGGCTGTGCGCGCCCACTGTCACCAGGGACCAGCATGCAGGGCCAGCTCCCGCGGCCTCTCACGTGAACAGCGTTGGCGCCGGGAGCGTGTGTCCCAGGCATGTGGTATGTGCAGCGGGCACGCCAGCTCTCCCCACCAGCTGCATCTCAGGGTGACAACCAAAACGTCCCCAGACACAGCCAAACGTTTCCTGGGACAAAGCTGCCGTGTACACGGACGCGCTCGCTCCAAGGCAAACCAGAGGGCAGCCTGCCACGTACCAACCAGCCAGATGCACTGCCCACGCCTCCACCCTGCTCTGCACCACGGTGCACACAGATCCCTCCCAGGCAGGCAGCTCACTGGCCAACAAGGAGCAGGCGGCAGGAAGGGCTGGCCCGGGAAATCCTTTTCCCACCACCTCACACTAGCTGAGTTTACCACTGGCTTCAAAGCCAGAGCCTGGACACAGCACTGAACAGGGAGCCAGGGAGACCCCGGGGCAGGAACAGGCGTGCCACGTGCCCTGATGCAGACCACCATCTCCTCCACTCACCTTTGCCCCTCCTCTCCTCCTTGAAGCCCAGTGTGGTGAAGCCAGGGAGCAGCTTGCTGGAGAGTGAGCTCAGGTCCACCGGGTGGGTCTCCTCCTCTGCAAGGGGACCAGCGCTCAGCAGAAGGCTGGCAGAGCCCCCAGCCCCACGCAGCCCAAGTGTGCTCTCCCCTGCACGGGGTGTGGGGTGTAGGCCTGGGGTCTCCACAGACCATCCAGAAGCCAGTTACCACTCTCAAACTGCAACTGCACTCCAATCCCACTGGCTATTACCCCAAACTGACACAGTGGAGATGCTCAGGGCCCTGACCACAACACCAGCACATTTTCAGGTCAGCGCTCACCACCCTAAGGGATCTCATCCCTGGTCCTAATGGCACCCAGGGGGCCTCTGCGGGGTGCACCACACACATACACGGCCTGGACAGGGCCCCTCCATTCTGCAGGACCTCCACTTTGGTGTTCTTCCTAAGTGCTGACCAGCCTGCTCTTGCGGAGAACACCGTGATGACGGCAGCCATAGTTAAGGAACCGGGTCCATTCACACTGCAGGTACAAGTGCACCCACTTCTCTGGACTCGCCAGCATGGGAGCCCCCATGTCCCCATAGCGAGACCACTCGGGTTTCCTTCCTGTGTGTGCAGGAACGTATTTCAAAGCCAAGTGAGTTTAGCTTTTCCTCAAAGGATGAGACTTCGATATTTTTCAAGGAAACAGAGATGTAGAAACACTGTTTGAAGACTGTGAACATGACCACACAGCTGGGTGGACCCAGAGTTTAGCCTCCTTCACAGTCTTCCTTATCAGGTGGGGCTTCCCTTCCAAAACCCATGTCGGGCGGACACCTGCCTCTTTCAAGCCTCAAGAGGGGCCACTTTCTGACAAAGGAGCTCTTGCTTAGCTTGCAAACCCTTCACGATGGACCAGGGGTCCAGCCCTATGGGCTTCTCTGTAGCTGAGGGTGCGTGACTTGTCCTGCTGATTGTCCCAGGGACCCTGACCAGCCCTGACCTCCTGCATGGCCCCCTGGGTGCATGTACCCCAAGTGCTGTGCTTGGGGTGTGTGTGCGGGAGCAGGGACCCGGGGGCTCCCTGTCTACACCACCCACTGCATCATGCACTGCAGAACCAGGCTGCAATGCACGAAGATCACGGGCTATAAATGGAGGTTACGAGGATAGCAGGAAGGCGCAGAGCCAGGCCGGCCAGGGCGCCCACCATCAGCATCCAGCTCGGCTGAGTTGACCACGCTGTAGAGCAGGCTTCCATCACCGTTCTTCTTCAGGTAGCCCATCTATAAGGAAGATGCTTGAGCGTCCAGCTTCCAGATGGCACCTGACCCCCGCACAGCATCCAACCCCCAGGTGCAGCCCAGCCCCTGGACAGCGCCTGGTCCCTGCATGGTGCCTAGCCTCCAGGGACAGCACCTGACCCCCGGATGGCGCCCGGTCCCTGGACAGTACCCAACCCAAGGGTGTCCTCAGCTTCTACACTTGCGACCCCTACTGAAGCCCCACAGAACCAAGGCCTACAAGTATGGCCGGCCAGATCTGGAGAGCTGCTCTGTGTCTCCATGAACTAAGGCCCAAACCCCCTCATACTGCTTCCCAGACGTTTTACTTTCAAACCTGTTTGCAATGAAAAAGCTTCTTAGACTCCTTGTGAGGCTTCCAAAGGAGCTTTTGAGAAGGAAGCTTTACCCAGAAACTACCGTCCACAGCAGGTCAGCACCCGGACCAACAGACCGGTCACCAAGCACGTCACAGGTGGGCAGCCCAGCAGCCCCATCCCCAAGGAGGCATGTGGGGACTTACTCCCATTCTAAAACCAACCACCAAATGGGGCCACCAGCACACAGGCAGAGGTGGTGCCTGGTATGGGTGGGCTGAGGGGGTGGCCCTGCCCAGGGCTGCATGTCTAGGGGAGGGGCAGATAGGGATGGAAAGCTGGGCCCAGGCAGGCAGAGTGGGCACAGGGGTGGGAGGCTGGTCACTGCCGACAGAGTGGGCAGGTCAAGGCACAGTCAGGCTCCCACTATGCAATCACAGCCAGGAGGCGACAAAGAGGAGGGCAGCAGGGCTGGGCTGGGCTGGAGACTTCAACGAGGACCGTGCGCTCGGGCACTGGGATGAGCTCAGCACTGCTTCCCCACATGAACCATGGGTCTGCTTGTGGTCTGTCCCAGTTCTGCCCTGAGGCCACCCCAGCACCCACGTCCGGTTTCTGAAGGCTGCTCCCCACTGAGGAACAGGGGCTCCATGGGAATCAGGCAATTCTGGGGCTGAATCAACCACAGACCTGTGGGGCCAGCAGGACCACTGTGAAAACCACACAGGAGCCTCGAACTTGGCAGCTGGCACGTTAGAACGAGTGAAGAGAAACCTGTCTCCACGTACTCACATCACCCAACATACCCAAACCTTATCACTGCTGAATTCTTTACGAGCAGTTCAACTTGCATCTTGAATATTACTAAGAGAGAACCCAAAGCATCACCATCATTGAAAAGACAAACAACAAATGTTGGCAAAGTTGTGGAGAAAGGAGAACCCTCCTACACTGCTGGTGGGAATGTAAATTAGTTCAACCATTGTGGAAAGCAGTATGGAGGTTCCTCAGAATGCTCAAAATAGAAATACCATTTGACCCAGGAATTCCACTTCTAGGAATTTACCCTAAGAATGCAGCACTCCAGTTTGAAAAAGACAGATGCACCCCTACGTTTATCGCTGCACTATTTACAATAGCCAAGATATGGAAGCAACCTAAATGCCCATCAGTAGCTGAATGGATAAAGAAGATGTGGTACATACACACAATGGAATATTCCTCAGCCATAAGAAAAAAACACATCCTACCATTCGCAACAACATGGATGGAGCTGGAGGGTATTATGCTCAGTGAAATAAGCCAGGTGGAGAAAGACAAGTACCAAATGATTTTACTCATATGTGGAGTATAAGAACAAAGGAAAACTGAAGGAACAAAACAGCAGCAGAATCACAGAACCCAAGAATGGACTAACAGTTACCAAAGGGAAAGGGACTGGGGAGGATGGGTGGGAAGGGAGGGATAAGGGTGGGGAAAAAGAAAGAGGGCATTACATTTAGCATGTATAGTGCGTGGGGGGCACAGGGAGGGCTGTGCAACACACAGAAGACAAGTAGTGATTCTACAGCATCTTACTACGCAGATGGACAGTGACTGTGAAGGGGTATGTGGGGGGGACTTGGTGAAGGGGGGAGCCTAGTAAACATAATGTTCTTCATGTAATTGTAGATTAAAGATACCAAAATAAAATAAAAATAAAAATAAAAAAAAGAGAGAGAACCCAAATCCCTGAGCAGTCTGCACAGACCCTACAGAGGCGTGAGATTCCGGAAACGTCAGATAAATAGATGTGTTTGGGCTAATTTCACTTGTACCCTGACTGTGACAAGGACGTCTAAGCTGTGCCACTGGCCAGTGTGCTACTTCTACGGGACGCTTGGCTGGTCCACAACGACTTCCTGTGTGAGAGGGCAGGTGCTCAAAGGATGGCAGGTCTCCCAAGGACCAGCACTGTCTGACAGCCCACCACACGTGGTCAGGGCACCCTGCCGCAGGGCAGAGTGAGTGCCCAGGGGAAAGGGCTAACCTGCAGTGGGGAAGCTGGAGGGTCGGCCTCCGTGCAGGGACGGAGGTTAAGATCCACCTTGAAGGGGCACGCTGACCGCAGTGTCTGCATGCCACATGCTATTTCTGTGTGGGTTCTGCCCACGAGGCACCCAGGCCCCCTCCACAGGAGATGGGCCTACACTGAGGACAAGGCACTGACCCCATGGCCCCAGCAAGTGCCAGAACTGATCTCGGCAACTAAGGCACGACCCGAAATGACCAGGCAGAGCTCCAGCCAGATGCCTGGGTGTCCTGACACCGACCTCTCTGTTCGATGGCTAGGCTGCACCGCTGTCCTGGCAAACACACACCCACCCATTGGGCAGCGCTACCTTGCCGCCTGGGAGGAGCCGGCTGATTCTGTCCCGAGCCTCATCGGCCGCGTGCTCCACCAGGGCCAGCACGTGCTCTTCTGCTGTGCTGTCGGTCAGGCTGCAAGCATTTCCTTCCGGCTCAAACATGCAGCTATGAGGCAGGAACACCGTGTGAGGTACAGGAGGCACCCAGCATACCCACTTCCTCACTGAGGCCACCCTGAAGGCCCACATGGGACAGTGGGAGTGGCATCAAGCACATGTGAAAACAGCCTTCCCTTCCCACTGTGGCCTCAGCAGCTCAAGGCACTCCCATGGGGACAGTGAGGTGAGCAGTTCTGTGTTCCTTATGTTTCTGTCATTTTTTTAAGAGCACAAAAGAGACACAGGTGGCAGGAGCCCCACTGGTTACAGTGTCTTTCAAGGCACCATTAGAAGTGACAAAAACCCCGTGGAGTGTGGAGGTGTTGGGAGAGGGGGCTGTAGGCCCCGAGGGAGCCCTGAGATTTCCACAGGCGGCTCAGGCCCCACACATAGGAGTTTCTGACAGCTGAGAGGCGCTGGGCACAGCACCCGCAGGCAGTGGCCTCTTATGGAAGGTCTGGAGCAGGTGTGCAGGAGCCCTCTCGGGAGCTGCCTGGGGGTCCCCAAGCCTACGGGAAGGCTTTCCCTCTGCTCTCGGGCTCAGAGCTACAGGAGCGGAAGCCCAGGGAGGGTGGGGAGCAAGAAGCCCCCTGCCCTGTGCTACCTGCCCCAGGCGCCCAGCACATAGGCTGCACAGAAGGGGACTTCTTAGGAGTGAAGGGCTCGCCAATGAATATTCAAGCAGCCTGTGTGTGGGGCAGCAGTGACTGCCAGCCACAGCCAGAGCACAGTTCGTGTGGAGCCGGCGAGGCCGTCTTGACCCTTCTGCCCCCTGTCCATCAGTGTGACAGTCACTGTCCTCCAGAACAAGTAACTGTGGTGGCTGCAGGACCCCAACTGTGGGGTCCAGGTAATGGGGACACTCTTTACCACGATGGGCAGGGAACAACAGCCCCCTCCCTCTGAATTCTGGGTCCAGGTTCCACCCTAGCTGGCCTGGGGCCATGTTCCCCATCAGGCTACACGGGAGCCCATCCGAGGGTGACTCTGAGGTTGGCAGGAGAGCAGGCTCTTCTTTGGCCCCTGCTGTCTGTAAGGCACCCCCTTCCCGAGGGGCCCCGATAGCACACACTCCTCTACCTGATGGCTTCCCTGCTCGGCCTTTTGCACTTCCTGGCCGTCTCTACTTGGACGGGTGCAGCCTCGGGAATTGGCTCCTCAACAGCCGTGTCTTCATTGCCCAGAAGCGCTGCCTGCTGAGAGAAATCCACGTCCTGCATAAACGACATGCTGCGCTTCAAAGCGAATAGCCGCTCCTAGGATCAGAAAGGACAGAGCAGCGACTTTACCTCCCCTCACATCCAAGGCACCATGATGATGGGTGGGGCGGCCCAGCCTCACCTGGCCTGACAGCTGACCAGACAGCAGGAGGGCGCAGGGGTCAGCCCAGGGTGCAGCTGACCTATGGCAAACACCCCGCCCACAGGGGGATGGGCAGGGCCATGGGGGCTACACTTCGCCCACAGGCTGACCGGGCACAAGGCTCTGGCCCTGGAAGCAGGACACATGCAATCTGGTTCATGGGGCAGGTCTGGGAAGCCACTAAGGATGGCCGGGCTGTCTCATCTGGATGTAGTGAGGCAGCCACACGAGGCAGACCCATAAGGCTGGCTGCAATCTAGCAAGACAGACATCCCGGCTCAGTCACCAGATCCAGAACTTTCCACCAACCCTAAAGGAGATGTTACAGCTCAGCCAGGAGCAGAAAGAGGAGAGTGCCTGCAGGAGAGGGCGGCCTGGGGCATCTACCCTAGAGCAGGGGTCCGCACGGTGGCCCGTGACAGATGGACAGAAGCATGTTGTTCACTGGGAGAGGTCCCGTATAGACGTAAAAAAGCGGAGGAGAACCCTTGTTCCTGTGGCTCCTGGCTGTCCGTGGCTTCCTTACTTTGCTCATCATCTTGAATCCTGCGTGAAGGATCTTCTTGGCCAACTTATAGTACACGGTGTCTGGTCTGTTATATGTCATTGCATTGTCACACATCAGTTTGAAATCTGCCTGAGAAGAAAAAGAACTCATCAGGTTTGAACTATCAGGCAAAACAAAGGGTTTAGGTTCTTATCAAAACAGGCCAGAAAGTGATTGAAATTATATGGAATGCAATTGAATTTGGTTCTTTGAACAAAAAATAATCTTTAAAAACTTTTAGTTTCCTCAGTGTTCACTGGTCTTCACGTGCATGGGAAATTTTCCAGTGAGGTTTGCCTGTAACTTTGTGCTGAGAAGAATGTGCATGTTTCATGAGAGGTAAAGGACGCCTCCTCCCTGCCTCCAGCCATTCCCCTCTCTTTGGGAGGAGCTGGACATAAACAAGAGAAGAACCAGCAACAGGCTCTTTTAAATACAAATCAAGGGATGAACCAACAGGTGGGCACCATCAGGTGCTCCTCCTCTGGAATTTTTCTGTAGTAGGTAGTGTCAGAAAAAGACCGCCTAAAACAAGGAGAACCTAACTAAACAATAACCTGCTCAAGTTAACTCCAAACGGATCAGTAATTTCTGACCCAACCAAGTCACTAGATCAAGGTGAGCTGGACACCAGGATGGACGATGGCTGCCAATGCCAGGTGTGCCCCCTGGTGCCCTCCCAAGCCCCCGCCACTGCCCTGTGCCAGGGTCCCCAGCCCCGGGACCAAGGCCACAAGCCCCATCCCCACAGTTCCCGACTGTGATGGATCCAGAGCCCTCTCGTAAGGACGCAGATGTAGATCATGAGAAACCTCCCAGCATCACAGGTCCCCGGTGAAGACCCACTTTCAGGCTGTGTGCCTTCCATGGGTCAGAAGACCCTCTCAGTAAGTAACAATGGAGAAGCCAAGCTTTTCAAAACTGGATAGAACCTAAAAACCCAACTTAATGCCTCCTTCTAAGTGAAGCCATTGCCAATGTTGTCAAGCATTCACTTTGATATTCCCTACAGGTTTCAAAGCCAAAAAGCAGTTTCTATCTGTCATGAGGCTACCAAGAAACAGAGGAGCAAAGTACTCAAGAGAAGTAAGAATTTGTTCTAAAAAATTAAACTCCCAGTTATTACAAGACAAAACTAAGAATTAGGAAAACTTACTTCTAAAACACCCATCCTGGAGTCAGATCAAACGGCACACACACTTGCTTGCCCCATTGCATTTCTAATAGTGTGCAACATACAGTCCAGCTTCTAGACCAAAATGTGGGGACAACTGCCACCGACCTGTTTCCTTAATGCTCTGTGAAATATCAGCCCAAACAAAGAATTACCTGTGAAAACTTGCAAATACAAATGACCCAAAATGAATGAAGTGTTTACTAGATATAAACACGGAACTCTCTAATGCTTTCAGCAACTGAACTTACCTTAAATTCAGTGACAGACTTGTACTCATTAGCCACAATTTTGTCTTTCATTGTCCCAAAATCCATTGGATGTTTTATTATCATCGAGTACCCAGGGGCAATTGCATCCGTCACAGGAAAAGCAAAGAATCCATGGGGGTCTTTCCTGAAAGCAAAAGTATCCTCGTTTAAACTGAAAACCCTCTAAATGACTTAACACCTTCTCCAATAAAAAGTCTGATATGACTGACCAAACTTTAAGTTCCTTAAAAATAAAAAGTTTAACCCTAAGCCTGTTAGAATTGTAGTCATATACCACAAAGGTAAAAATTACAAGGCATCACCATGAATCCCCTCCCGCCCAACACGCCCGCGCTGCTCACAGTAGACAGGTGCTCTCCCTGCCTGGAGCCCACCCAGCTGGTCAGGGCACCAGCAGAGGAGGGGAAGGCACTTCACAGGTGCTCAGGTGGGGGCAGAACACCTTGAAGAGAGTCCCAACATCCCAGCCACAAGCTCTTAGAAACAGTTTACCTCTGGAGCTGGCGGAGGAAATGCTCCAGGAGTTGCTGAATAGGCGTGCTTTCGTTCTCAGCTGACAATTCAAAGTAAAAAAGTAAAGCTGAATAGCAAGGCTTTGGAGTCACTGCACTGGAGAGCTCCGATCTCATAGTATGCGTTTCTCTGTTCCAGGTTCGCAGTGGCTTAGCTTCCAGCAAGGACTGGGCACAAAGGCAAACCAGACACAGCTCTGGCCCCCACAGATCAGCTGCGTGGGGAAGGGCACAGTCGCCAAAGGCCAGCAGAATCCCCAGGCCTCTTGAGGCAACAGGGAGTGACCCCTCAGCAGCCTGCTTCCACCCATCACTGCTGAGCGGGGCTCACTCCAGACAGGTGTGAACGGGCACACAAGCCTGCCTGCACCCAAAACCTCTGCCCACGCCAGCTCCCCATCTGTAAAACGGAGGTGAGAATACACGCTACATGCAGTGCTGGGGGTTGTTAAGGGCTCCAGCTGCTAACTACTGAGCCCACAACATGAAAACATGGCTTCCGGGGAAGGTGACACTGAGCTCAGCAGTTTCCTCCCACAGCTGTGCATCCATCCGTCTGTGGCCCTTCCCAGCTCTGCCCCAAAGCCACCTGAGTGCCCACGTTGGGCTCCTAAAGGTAGCTCCCCACTAAGGAACTGGGGCTCCTCAAACAAATGGCCAATTCCAGGGCTGATCACTAGGAAGCACCACCTGAGCACCAACTCTTCAGGTAGACAAAGATGGGGAAGCACTGGGAGGTAGAAGCCCAAGCAGGTAGTTGACCAGTTAAACTCACAGTTCCTGGAGACCATGCCAACACTGCAGACATGTCCGCTTAAGGAGCTGGTGCTCTGTGCCTGACCTCCTCTACGCCCCATATGCCCAGTGGTGCCACGTCCCAGCTGCCCAGGGGCAAATCCCACACAGGGGCAGGTGCTGCCAGGAAACAGCACCCCGACTGCAGCACAATGCCTCCTGACCCCAGCAAATCATAGGTGGTCATGCTGAAGGAGACGCCAGAGGAGCAAAGCTGCCAGAAGCCCTAGGCGAGTCCACACAGGCCAGAAGTCCTGAGCACTCCCGCTCTCCTTTGGGACAGCACAGCTCCCCATTTCCAAGGGCCTGATGACTCATTTGAGCACTGCCCCTCCCATCTGTGACAGCTTCTCAGCTCTGGGGTTTAAAGAACATGGGCAACAGAGCAGCAAGGACCTTGGGTCCAGCCACCGGGGTGGAGAAAACACCATCCCCTCCACCAGGGACAGGTACCGGCCCCACCTCACCCCAGAGCCTCTTGGGAATGCCACGCTTGCCTGACTGTGTCCGGCATGCTCGGATGGGCCGGTCAGGGGGCGGCTCCACCTCCACCTTCTTCCCTGGATCGAAGTCGCCGGTCTCGCCCTCTGAGTCGCAAGGCTCCTTGTCCCGCTTCCGCTTCCGCTCCTCCTGCAGGCAGGCAGGGTGGGCAAGACAGGCAGGCTCAATGGACCTCCTGCTTCCGAGGAGAGCCTGGCAGGCTACCTGCTCACCCACGAGGCCCAATCAGCAAGGAAAGACACCCGCGCAAAACTGGTGTGGCTATCTGGACAAGGAGCTGCTCCCTGGCTCTGCCCGCGCGCCTGCCGCCTGCCCTCTGCCCTCACCTTCCGCTTCCTCCTCTCCTCATCATCCAGATGCTTCTCCTTCTCTGACTTCTTCTTCTTTTTCTTCTTCTTTTCTTTGTGCCTCTCTCGCTCGTGGTCTGACCGGTCGTCGTAGTAACTAGAGTCGTGGCCTGACCCCGAGAGTTCGGTCACCTCGCTTCCTCCAACCTTGAGGACCAGCTTCAGAGGCTTCTCCAGGGGCTTGTCCGCGTAATCTGTACACACAGAGGGGCCTTCACCATTTGCTCAGAGGCAAGGACGGCCACCCCACCCCACTGAAGCTCGGCTGGCCCAACATGCGATACTAGTCCTGAGGAATAGGACGGATTTGCAACACTACAGTGGACAGCAGGGCAGCACGAGAACCATCAGAAAGAGGTGGTGCCGTAAAGCTAACAGCAAAAACTTTCAGGGCAAGGCCGAGAGCAATGGCTGCTTCTTCCCTGCGGCTGGATTACCCTCAGGTAGGCCAAGAGGCAGCCTTCCCCTCACTCTGTCAGGGGCAAGGGGCAAGACCTGCCACCCAGGAGCCCCAACAAGCACCCCGAAGGTCCGGAGGGTGTTCATTCCCTCTCCCGCTGCAGCAGCCACGGCGTCCCGCGTCCACTGACACGGAGCCCCAGCAGCTGCAGGGCCCCGCGCGGGCGGCGCAGGGTGCGTGCTCGGAGCAGGAACTGCCGGCCAGGCGCACACAAAGCCGAGATTCTGCTGTCTTCTCTCAAGGACCGGAGGTGGACTCGCCGCCCCGAACCCGAGAACCCCGTCCCCCGCGTCGCCCCAGTTCGGGCCCTCCGGCCCCCGCCGGCAGACCCGGCCCCCGCCCCCACTCCGAGACCCTCGCGTGCGCGGCGTCCCACAGGCGCGCGCACCCTCGTACGACGAGCGCCACTCGGCCTTGTGCTTCTTGTGCTTCTTGCCCATGGCGGCAAGGGCCGAAGAACGGAACCCGGAGAACGAGGCCGCCCCGCGCCCAGAGCCCCCGCGCCAGAAGCGGGCGCCGAGCCGCAAGCAGACGCCGCGCCGGAAGTGCCTGGCCAGCGCCGGAAGCAGACGCTACGTCGGAAGCTGGTGCCGAGCGCTTCCGGATCAGGGCTGTGCGCGGCAGGTTCGAAGCACCGGCGGGCCGGCGGCCGAGGAGGCGGTGGTGGTGGCGGCGGTGGCGGCGGCGGCGGCGGCGGCGGCGGCGGCGCGGGGCGCGAGGCGGCGGCGACCACGCTCGGGCCGGGTCCTCGCTGCTCCCGGCGGCGGCGACGGCGCCATGGATGAGGCGGTGGGCGACCTGAAGCAGGCGCTGCCCTGCGTGGTCGAGGCACCCACTGTCCATGTAGAGGTGCACCAGCGGGGCGGCAGGTGAGCCGGACCTGGGCTCTGTGGACCTACTGGGCCTCCCGACCCGACCTCCGCCCACCTGAACTGAGACCCAGCCCAGCCCCTGCCTGACCCCGACCCCAGAACTCGGCCCCACACAGCCCTGATGCGTCTCGCCGGACCCCAAAGCCCCCCTGGCTTTTCTTCTCTGGCTGACGGTAATGGCCGCCTCATGGGGTGCTCACGGTGCCCCGCGCTGTCCTAAGCACTGAACGTGTTGACTGATCTTAGGAACTCTTGCTCTGGCCCCTTTCTGGGTGCAGAGCTGAGGCACATCGTCCTTGGGCAGCTCCATGGCTGCAGCCTGGGCAGCAGGTCTGAGCCCAGGCAGGCCTGCTCCGCCTGTGCTCTTAACTGCTACACCTCCTCATGTTGTGTCTGATGTTTTTAAAACAATAACATTTTAAAGTTTAGGTCCAATACGTGTGTTTTGTTTGTTTTTCCCAGCACTGCAAGAAAAGAAGACATAAAGCTGAGTGTTTGGAAGCTGCTCAACAGACACAACATTGTGTTTGGTGACTACGCATGGGTGGAGTTTGATGAGCCCTTCCTGACCAGGAATGTGCAGTCCGTGTCCATCGTTGACACAGAATTAAAAGTCAAAGATCCGCAGGTACCTTCCAGCTCACACTGCTCGCAGCTGACCCTTAGCTGGATACAGAGTTGGCATTGCTGCCTTGGGAGCGTATTGTCGGGAATCGGCCGCTTACCAGATGAGGACTGGCTCTCTGTTGGGAGCCAGGTGCTGGGAGCAGGTGGGCGCCTGTGCAGGATGCTCACCTGAAGGTAGACAGATGGGAAACCGCAAAGAAGGGTGCAGAGCAGGTGGGGAGTTAGCTGGGCAGGCGGGGCCTGTGCCTCCTCTCGTTCTCTCAGTCAGCAGACATTTGTGGGGCACTCAGTGTGTGAGGATGTTAGGGGGGTGGCCATGCCAGCAATGAGATGGGCTCACCTTCCAGAAGCTCTTCATCTCATCCAATATGGGGACTGCCTCGTGGGATTCATGGGTGAGAGTTAGGAGCTTTGTGTGAGGGGTGGATGCTCTGGGGCCATTCTGTCCACGCTACAAGAACAGTCCTGCGCATCTGCCTTGAGGTGCATTGCTGACTCCTGTCTTAAGAAGGATTGCTTTGAAAGAGTTGGTTTGGTACTAATATTTTACTTACAAGGGGGATCTTCTCCTTCCAGTTAAACTAACATTTGTGGATTTTTATCGATCCACCCAAAAACTGGTGGAATTTTTTCCACTGGACTGGATCTTGGCCAGCCTGAGGGAACTGTTGGGAAAGGAGAGCACAGCCTGACTGAGTGTGGTGGTGCTAGTGCACATTTATTCTCATTTTCAGCTCTGAGGGTTCACCTGGAGGAATCTGTCTTCACAGATAATCATAAGGTTCTATAGAACTTGTGAAAAAGGTCTTTTATAAGTTGTTAATAATGGCCAACAACTTTAAATACTTAACTGTCCATCAAGAGATTGATTAACCAAATCTGATACATCCACACGAAATATGATACAACAGTGAGAAAGAACAAGGTAGGTATCTGTCCACTGATGTAAAGTGTCTCTGAGCTCTAGGAAGTGGAAACATGGTTAGAAACTGCAGCAGAGTCCATTTTTGGTCAGACTTGTTGGCGTGTCACAGACCATAGCAGCTGCGAGGCAGGACGTAGGGTGGCAACGTTCTGTCATCTGTGTTTTTTCAGCAAGTGTGTGTTACTTTTGTAATTATGAAAAATAATATTTTTTTAAACAAATGTAAGACCCCAAAAGGGGAGGGAGGGATACACATCTTAAGAAGAGCTAAACCTCGATCTGAAATATAATAGTAGCTTTTTAATCTAATCTAAGAAGTAGCTTTTAATATTCTGTTTGCTCCACCTTTGCTTTTGGACTTTAACGTTCAGTGTTTACAACTAGAATCAACAAGAGAGTTGTTTCCAATTTGTGTGGATTTATTAAGTGTTTCCTTCTTATCACAGCCCATTGACTTGAGCTCGTGCAATATTGCGCTTCACATCTTCCAGCTGAATGAAGATGGCCCTAGCAGTGAAAATTTGGAGGAAGAGACAGAGAATATAATCGCAGCGAATCATTGGGTTCTTCCCGCGGGTATGTGAGAGGACTAGGCAGAGCATGCTGAGGACAGAGGGTGGAGCACATCTCTGGTTTGCCAAGTCAGCTACCCAGGGAGGTGTTTGTCTGTTTTGTTTTTTTTTTGTAAGAGCCTAGAGTGTGTTTATCTCTTCTGAATGGTAATTCTGTTGTGAAAAAGTGAAGCGCAGGTTTCCTTCAGATGTGCCCCTCAAAGGCAGCACTAGCTGAGGGTTCCTGCCCTGTCAGCTTATCCTGGGGCTGCACTTTCCTCCTGCATTCTCTGTGAGTCCCCATGGACTTTGCACATAGGTTCTAGAGGCAGCCTTTCGCCTTTTGCTGATGTGCCGAGCTCCAGGGCACTGGCTATGGCGGGGGGTGGGGGCAGCTTCAGGGCCTGTGCTTGTGCCCGAGCAGGACCACAAATGACAAAGGTATGCGGTGATGATGTGAAGGTGGCTCTTTTACTCCACCAAGCTACTCAACAGTCATACCAGACTGGTGTTTGCTTTGCATCTTTAAGGGTGAGAGAAATTAAAGTTTTAAGAAAAAGTTTAAAAATGTGCTTGTAGTGAGCATCTTTCCCCGCCATGTGTGGAGCAGTGGGGCATACTGGTGGCTCAGCCCAGACCAAACTGGTCAGTGTAATGCTCTCCTAAAGTTGTGTTTTTGTCTTATTGTCTCCCAGCTGAGTTCCATGGGCTTTGGGACAGCCTGGTATACGATGTGGAAGTCAAATCCCATGTAAGTTCCTGAGCTCTTTTTTTTATTATTATTATTTTGCTATCATTAATATATGATTACATGAACAACATGGTGGTTACTAGACTCCCCCTATTATCAAGTCCCCACCACATACCCCATTACAGTCACTGTCCATCATCATAGTAAGATGCTATAGAATCGCTATTTGTCTTCTCTGTGTTATCCTGCCTTCCCTGTGCCCCCCCTACGTTATCTGTGCTAATCATAATGCCCCTTTTTCCCCCTTTATCCCTTCCTTCCCACCCATCCTCCACAGTCCCTTTCCCTTTGGTAACTGTTAGTCCATTCTTGGGTTCTGTGAGTCTGCTGCTGTTTTGTTCCTTCAGTTTTTGCTTTGTTCTTATACTCCACAGATGAGTGAAATCATTTGATACTTTTCTCCACCTGGCTTATTTCAGTGAGCATAATACCCTCTAGCTCCATCCATGTTGTTGCAAATGGTAGGATTTGTTTTCTTCTTATGACTGAATAAAATTCCATTGTGTATATGTACCACCTCTTCTTTATCCATTCATCTACTGATGGACACTTAGGTTGCTTCCATATCTTGGCTCTTGTAAATAGTGCTGCAATAAACATAGGGGTGCATCTGTCTTTTTGAATTTGGGATCCTGCATTCTTAGGGTAAATTCCTAGGAGTGGAATTCCCAGGTCAAATGGTATTTCTATTTTTAGTTTTTTGAAGAATCTCCATACTGCTTACCACAATGGTTAAACTATTTTACATTCCCACCAGCAGTGTAGGAGGGTTCCCCTTTCACCACATCCTTGCCAACATTTGTTGTTGTTTGTCTTCTGGATGTTGGCCATCCTAACGGGTGTAAGGTGATATCTCATTGTGCTTTTAATTTCCATTTCCCAGATGATTAGCGATGTGGAGCATCTTTTCATGTACCTGTTGGCCATCTGAATTTCTTCTTCGGAGAAGTGTCTGTTCAGCTCTTCTGCCCATTTTTTAATTGGCTTATTTGCTTTTGGTTTGTTGAGGTGCATGAGCTCTTTAAAATTGGATGTTAACCCCTTATTGGATTTGTCATTTATGAATATATTCTCCTATACAGTAGGAAGACTTTTTGTTCTACTAATGGTGTCCTTTGCTGCACAGAAGTTTTTTAGTTTGATACAGTCCCACTTGTTCATTTTTGCTTTTGTTTCCCTTGCCCAGGGAGATATGTTCATGAAGAAGTTGCTCATGTTTATGTCCAAGAGATTTTTTGCCTATGTTTTTTTTAAGAGTTTTATGGTTTCATGACTTATATTCACGTCTTTGATCCATTTTGAGTTTACTTCTGTGTATGGGGTTAGACAATAATCCAGTTTCATTCTCTTACATGTAGCTGTCCAGTTTTGCCAACACCAGCTGTTGAAGAGGCCTTCATTTCCTCATTGTATGTCCATGGCTCCTTTATCATATATTAATTAACCATATATGGTTGGGTTTGTATATGGGCTTTCTAGTCTGTTCCATTGGCCTA